TTGAATTTTTATCTTTCCATTAAATAAAAAAATTTTCAATCAAATCTCAAGCAATATAAATTCTGATTTTATTGTAATAATATTAGCATAATCTTTTCTTGCCAAAAAAAAAAGCAAAAATTCCAAGATTTTATCGTCAATAAATTTTCTCATCAAAATCATTCTTTATCAATTTTTTTTAAGCAATTTGAAGCAATTCACAAAATTACAAAGCGATGCACAGAAAGAGAATTACAGATCTCTATGATTAGCAGGGAAATGCTTCTTTCTCCTAATGAAAAATTTTAAAGTTAAAGGAAAAAAAAAGTTTTCTTTTCTCAATAGCTATTCTATCTTCTCCTTTCTTTTTCGTTTTTTTAACTGATTTAAAAAAGATAAACGCAAGAAGAATGAATCAAAAAGCTCAATCTTTTTGAATTCCACTATAATTCTTCACTTTTCCTATTTTATCATCATATCCAACCTTCTTTATTCTAATTTAATTAATCAGCTTTTCTCTGTATCATCTGAATCGTATATCTGTTATTGATATCAACTAATTATTACCTGCATCATTTGAATTTTATTGACTATTGATATCTATTAATTATTCCCCGTATCATTTGAATTTTATATCTCTTATTGATATCAACTAATTATTACCTGTATCATTTGAATTTTATTCGCTACTGATATCAATTAATTATTCCTCGTATCACTTGAATTTCATATCCGCTATTGATACCAACTAATTATTATCTGTATCATATGAATTTTATCTATTACTGATGCTCACGAATATTATAATCTGTATTTTCTGAATCTTACCTGTTGATGACCATTAGCTTGTGCGCAACTTAACGGTGTACAATCATTAATACGTGCAAACGCATTTACAGCTGCTCCACATTTTAATAAATATTTTACACAATCATATTTACCTCTTTCACATGCTATATGAATTGGTGTAAATTGATCAGAATCATCCTTATGAATGAGGCAATCCTAAAAAAAAAAAAATGAAAATTCTTGTTGTTGTTATTTTTTGCTTTTAGCAAGAATTTCTCACTTATAAGCTTTTTTTCTACCTTACAAAACTTTTTTTTCTATCTTACAAAACTTATAAGCTTTTTTTCTATCTTACAAAACTATCATATTTCTTTTGAGATAAAAAAATAAACAAAAGAATAAAGATAAATTTCTCACTTAAAAAAAACTCTATTTTAAAAATTAAAATATACGTTTGCTAATAATTTAATTCAATATGATAATTGTTCCAAGAGACTTTCGTAGCATTTCTCATATTAATTTCACTTTTAACATGCTGATAATAAACAGCCAAAACTAACAGCTTTCATAATGAGCACTTCCATGCATGCAACATAACCGCCAAATGCAGCACAATGCAGTGCAGTTCGTCCAAGTTTATCGGTATGCGTTATTTTGCAATTTAATTCTGTGATCATAATATTTAACGTATGCGCTTGTCCTCCCAAACATGCGTAAAATATTGGAGTCCTAAATTTATGCAAATTCATAATATAAAATAAAACAAAATGCAGTATGTTAGAGTAACAATTTTAATTTTTTAAAAAATTCATCGATTTTTACAGTCAGAAAAAAAAACTTATCATCTTTGAGAGCATAAACCACATAATAGCATTAGAAATAACTGAAAATTTTAAGAAAATTCGAAAATATTCAAAAATGTAAGAATTTTTATATAATTCTTCCTAACAAATACAATTCACAAGTATCATAAAATACGAGAAAATATTTTCAAATTTATAATAAAATAGCAAACAAAAAAAAGGAATAAATAGAAAATCTTGATTTGTTTTTAAGCTTTTTAAATTATTTCGAAAATTTTTCAAAATATTCTTCAAATGTCGATTAAATTACAGGTTTTCTTAAATTCTTTTGAATTTTCACAAAACATTTCAAATATTACTATATAATTTTCCAGATACATATTACAATCTTTTCAATC